TTTCAGTTTGGGAAGTTTTTAACTGACATATCTTCAAGCTCGTTGATTCTTTCCTCAGCAGTGTCCAGTGTAAGGAGAAACCCACCAAAGACTGTTTCTCTGTTTTTAATTTCTATCATTGCCTTTTGATTTTCCCCTAGAGTTTCCATCTCTCTGCTTACGTCACCCATCTTTCCCTGATGTTGTCCCCTTTTTCCGTTATACTCCTTAGCATGATTAATTATATTTTAAGTTCCTGGTCTGATAATTCCTAAATATGTGCTATATCTGAATCTGGCTTTGATGCTTGATTTGTCTCTTCAGAATGTGCTTTTTTGCCAAATACTATAGGTCGTAATTTTTTTTTGAAAGCGAGACATAATGTCTCAGGTAAAAGAAACTGTGATAAATAGTTTTTAATGTGATATTTTGTGTTTATCTTTATGGAAATGAGGCTGTGTTTATAGTTTACTATAATAGTAGGTGTCAGCGGCTACATTTTCATGTAGTCCTCTTGTTTTTGTCTGCCCTGTTGACTTTAGTCTCCAGAGGCTCCTTCTTAGGTACTGTATTAAATGCCATTCTTTGAATTGTAATTTCTTGTTTTTATACAGGAGCACTGTCGATGTGGTCCTATGGTATTGAGGGGGGATTTCTATAATGTTGTGATTAGGTTTCAGTTTTTTAGTGAGCCTGTGTCTCTAGACTGTGACCTTCAGAAGTGTTTCTCAGCATTTTTGTCCCCTTTGGAAGAAACAGAATGGCTGGTGGAGGCTTGAGTTGGGTATTCCCCTTCCTTTATGTGGAAGTACAGAGGAGGTTGGAGTTGGGTATTACCTTTTCCCCACTTAGAATATTAGAGGTGGCTTGGCTGGGTAATTCTCTTTCCCCGTCACATTTAGGCTCTGGTAAAACACAAGTTGGTTAGGCTGTGCTAAAATAGTTTTCCTTGAGGACAGGCATTTTTTAAGGAGAATAGAGTGTTCTGGGTATATTTCAGAATGGTTGCTTTTTCTCTCACCCTGCCAGAAGCACAAGTTTTCACCCTGAGAACCTGGATGGGCCCCTGAAAGTGAAACTCAGAAAAGTTGGGAGGTCCTCCTCAACATGCTCCTGCCACCCTGGGAGTTCTATCTCTTAAATGATCCCACCCTTAGTCCGCAGGTACCCCTGTGTTCTTCCAGGTGCTGCCTCCAGCAGTGGTTTTTGCTCCCAGTGAGCTATGACTGTTTGTATTCACCTACCTGTTTAGTTTCTGGGGTGGTGGTTTGCCCTGTGACCTCAATTCTCTGGTGAATCTAAGAAGAGTTGTTGATTTTCACCATACATGCTATTTCCCTGTATTGAATCTTCTCTTTAGGCATAAATGTCACAATTTTGCCTAATTTTTTTTTACTAAAAAAGTTTAGATGAAATATATTTTACTTTGTTCATATATTTATACCTTAGTACCTCTATTATGTTGTAGAAATTAAACAATACAAGTATTTATTGCATTGAACAGCCATTGATTAAGTTAAACTGCAACCTTAAGAGACATGTCTTAAATATGCAATACTTGCTATGAATAGTAGCAGAAATTTTAACATTGAAAACATTTTTTTCTCCAATAAAATTTTATATAGAATTTGTTTACCCAATTGCTTCTTTTAATACTCACTCATGGACTTTGTTCTGGCAATTATTTTTTATTCATTAATTCATTTATTGAGTATCCAATATGTGCCAGGCACTGTTCTAGACATTGGGATATACTGATGAAGAAAACAATGAAAGACTTCTGCCTCTGGGAAGGCATATGTTTGAGTTTAGGGAAACAATAGACAATGATCATAATATAAATAAGCAAGTTATATGGATGATAGAAGGTGAAGGGTGACATGAAATAGAGAAACAGAAAAGGGCAAACAGAAGAGAAGCTTGCAATTTTAAATAGAGCATCTAGAGTAGGTCTCATTGCCAAGATGATATAAGCAGACTTGAAGAAGAAGAGGAGTTGGCTGTGAACATGTCTGGCCGGAGAATGTAACAGGCAGAGGAAATAGGCTATGCAAAGATCTGACTGACAATGAGGAGGTCTGGGAGACAGTGGAGAGTTAGAGTGAGACAGGAGTAGCAGATGGGGTCCAGGTGGTGCCAGGGGCCAGGTAAGGACTTTGGCTTTTATACTAAGTGAAAGGACTGACACTGTAGGCTTATAAACAGAAGACAGACATAATTTATTTAGCATCTAAAAATAATATTTGTCTTCCCTATTCAGATTTGACTGCAATAATACTGTTTAGAAAGCCACTGCAACAGGCCAGACAAGTGATAACGTGGCTGAGACCAGGATGGTCCTGATGTAAGAGATTTCTTACATCAGGACCATCCTGTTGTAAAAAGAGTTACAAAAAAGAGAAATGCTAAGGCTATCTCTGAGATTTATGGATTGAAAAAAAAGAAAAGAGTTTCCAAAAGCTGAGACTGGGAAGACAGTATATAGCTTAGATTTTGGGGGAATATTAGATTTCGGTTTAGGCACGTTAATTTTGAGACATCTATTAGATGTCCAAGTGGAGATCTGAAGTAGACATACAGCATTCAGGAAAATGATTTGGCCGGAGCTATACTTTGGGTAGTCATCAGCATAGAGATGATATTTAAAGACATGAGACCACTTAAGATCAGTGTAGGCGTGAGTGTAGAGAGGGAAAAAGAGAACCAAGACACCCTAAAAGGTGTGTGTGAGGGGTGGGTGGTGTTTAGGGAGAAGAAACCAGCAAAACCGAGAAGAATCACAAGTGAGATAAGAGGAAAATAAGTGAGAAAAATGTATCAAAGAAGAGGAAGTCTAATCTACTTTGTCAAATGCTACTGATATCTTAAGTAAAATAAGATAGGCTAGCATTATTTCAGTAATTTAGGCACAGAAGTATTGAAGATAGATCAGTAATTGAATATAAAACTTTAGGAGTTTAGATAGCATAGCTTGTATGCTTCCTCCAGCAGCAGCAAGGTCCTCCAATGCGTTAAAGCTATTCCTAGCCCACGGCACTCACCGTGTACAAAGAAAGATTGGGATCTGGCTTGTGTTGAAAGTCTAATGTTCTGGTGGGTCAATTCTGAGTTCTCAGGAAGTTCTTGATGGGATCTATTCTACCAGTCTCTAGCTATTCCCTAGACTTGAGGAATGAGCCTATCTAGAGCTAGCTCTAGAATTCTTAAACCTAGCTCATTTTGATTCAAATAATGAGGATTTTAGTTTCTAAACTTATCTTGAGGTTCAGGGAAGCCAGTAGGAACAATGTCAAAAGTTAGTATATGCTAAACTTTATAAAATAACTTATTAATGTAAGAAGTGTTCTTTCGGCCATTTCTCTTTTTCCTAAAAATTAAAAAATTCTTTATGATTTTACAGACCTTCAGCTTATAGGCAACCACTGATTTTTTTTTTACAAGAAAATAATACTTTTTTTCATGCTGCATCTTCAGAAAATCTATAATTACACTGGATATATAAGTAATATTATGTAAATCATAGGGTTTTTTGATTCTGCATAAATGGTTAATAATATTAAAAGTAATAATATATGTAATATTTTATAAGAAGATATTTTATCTTCTAAGTCTTCCATATTGTTCATTTTTAAAGCATGAAGAGAAGAAAAAATGACAGAAGGGTGGCTGGAGATATTGCAAATCAATGCCAGGTCATGAAAATGCTATAAAACTTATGTCAGTAAATTATCAAGAAAATATAGACTATTATAATACCTTGTCAATATTAACACATAACTTTATTATTTATTTATTATTTTTATTTTTTGAGAGAGGGTCTCAGTCTGTCACCTAGGCTGAAATGCAGTGGGTGTGATCATGTCTCTCTGCAGCCTTTGCTTCTCAGGATCAAGCGATCCTCCCACCTCAGTCTCTTGAGTAGCTGGGACATACCACCAGGCTCAGCTAATTTTTTACTATTTTTTTGTACAAAGACAGAGTTCACTATCTTGCCCAGGCTAGTCTCGAACTCGTGGGCTCAAGGAATTCTCCCACCTCAGCCTGCCAAAATGCTGGGATTATAAGCATGAGACACAGTGCCTGGCTAATACATAAGTTTATTAATTCAGGACCATTTATAATGATACTATATTGTGTAGTATATGAGGAACAGATAAGTAAATGCAGGAAAATATTTTCAGTGTCTCTGTAGTCTCAAAGAAAGACTCATGAGACAGTGGGTGCTTGGAAAAAATACAGATGTCCATTAACCCCAGTGATGCATAAGGCAATGAATACATTGGTGAGTACCCTCCAGCATACCTAGGGCTCCGGAATGGCTCCTCTGATTGTGACCCATTCTACACCACTCCTTTTGTAGGCAGGTACAATATAATACCAGTGGAGGAATAACTTTGACCTTGGAAAAATATTGCATCTTCGTATTTATTTTCATATATTAATCTCAACTAGCTTGTATCATGATTTTGCAGTATTGTTTCATCTCACAGGGTATGATTTGGTATAAAGAATATATGTTTTTCGTCAAAACTTTCTTCTATGATAATTTGATAAATAAAGTCTAGACCTCAAGAGCATGACTTAAAATGACCTAATAATTTATAAACCTTCATATAAAATTTATGAACATATTTACATACATATTCACACACATATCTATGTTCATGTATGTTACAAATGATAAAAGTATGCATATAAACACAGGAATATTTTACACTAGAATCAAGAGAGTGATTGTGCATCAGTAGAAGTGAGGATGTGATTTTGAGGAGGTTCCCTAGAGCTCCAAGGTATTGGCTACTGTCATTTCTTAAACTGAGTATGGACTTAGGGGTATTGGTTTTCTATTCAATCTCTTTCATCTTAAAATTTGAAAAAAAATGAAAATCATACATAAGAAACGATATATTATGATCATCTGAGTGCTTTATAATGAAAAAGAAATTTATAGCACCAGGAGAGTATCTTGCAGCAAACAGTTTGAAGTACAAAATATCATAGTGATTTTTTTTTCTTTTCAGTTCGAAAGGATGTAGTCCGCATCCTCCCCAGTCTAGATGTCGAAGTCAAAGACATTACTGATTCTTATGATGCCAACTGGTTTCTTCAGCTGTTATCAACACAAGATCTTTTTGAAATGACCAGTAAAGAGTTCCCCATAGTGACTGAAGTCATAGAAGCACCTCAAGGAAACCACCTGCCCCAAAGCATTTTACAGCCTGGGAAAACCATTGTGATCCACAAAAAATACCAGGCATCAAGAATCTTAGCTTCTGAAATTAGAAGCAATTTTCCAAAAAGACACTTCTTGATCCCCACTAGCTATAAAGGCAAGTTCAAGCGGCGACCAAGGGAGTTTCCAACGGCCTATGACCTAGAGATCGCTAAGAGTGAAAAGGAGCCTCTTCATGTGGTGGCCACCAAAGCCTTTCATTCCCCTCATGACAAGCTGTCATCTGTATCTGTTGGTGACCAGTTTCTGGTGCATCACTCAGAGACGGCTGAAGTCCTCTGTGAGGGAATTAAAAAAGTGGTGAATGTTCTGGCCTGTGAAAAAATTCTCAAAAAATCCTATGAGGCAGTGCTGCTCCCTTTGTACATGGAAGGAGGTTTTGTAGAGGTGATTCATGATAAAAAACAGTACCCAATTTCTGAGCTCTGTAAGCAGTTCCGCTTGCCCTTCAATGTGAAGGTATCTGTCAGGGATCTTTCCATTGAAGAGGACGTGCTGGCTGCTACACCAGGACTGCAGTTGGAGGAGGACATCACAGACTCTTACCTACTCATAAGTGACTTTGCCAACCCTGCGGAGTGCTGGGAAATTCCTGTGGGGCGCTTGAATATGACTGTTCAGTTAGTTAGTAATTTCTCTAGGGATACAGAACCATTTCTAGTCAGGACTCTGGTAGAAGAGATCACTGAAGAGCAATATTACATGATGCGGAGATATGAAAGCTCAGCCTCACACCCCCCACCTCGCCCTCCCAAACACCCCTCAGTAGAGGAAACAAAGTTAACCCTGCTAACCTTAGCAGAAGAAAGGACGGTGGACCTGCCCAAGCCTCCCAAGGTAAGGCTATGATTTTGCAGTCTTTCCTCTGGAGTGTTTTCCTTGAGGCAATGTGTTTCAAGTCTTTTCTGAGTGTGTTTTGCTTACTTTTCTTTCTTTCATGCCATATTTGCAGTGAGCTATTCTGATATGCAGTAGATGAATTAACATCAACAGTATGTAAGCTGTTGCGGCATTTTATATTTTGATGTGGCATGAAGTTTAATATTGAATTGGAAATAGCAGAGATGACATTTGGATATGATGACCGAAATTACCTTTTCAATGGTTTTTGGTAATTAAGAATATTTTATGAAGTGCCTTAGAAGCAAATCTCTTTTATTTTAGAAGTGCTGTTAATTTTTTTTCTAAGTAAAATTTAATACCTCATCCAGGAAATTACCATACAGTAAACTCCCTTCTTCTGGGGATGGTGACGGTGGGGGTGGGGGGGTTACTGGTAGCGTGCATCTATAGCACATGTCTTCATTTTGTTTTATGTGCAGAAAGATGTAAAAATATCTTGGCAGAATTGTGTGTGAGAATGTGAGCATCTGCCCACATTCTGCTTATCTTAGAATTGTAATCTTTAACAGTTCTATTGAAAAACAAAATCAATAAAACTGCAGACAGTATGAAATCATTACAGAATCAACAACTCCATAACCACTTTAAAGATTCTGGAGGGTGATTCAGCTTCATTGCCATTTGTGGTCCTTGCCTCTTGAAAACTGCCTTCCGGCTGCCTGCAAAGTGCCTGCCCTTACACCATGATGTGTAGGTCGTTTATCCAGCCGTGGTTCTGTGGTGTGTGGAAGGAGTGCATTCTGGTCTGGCAGATGTTGTACTTGCAGCTTAGAGAAACAAAGCAATTAGTAAAACAAAGAGATGCTGTGTTTACTCTCTATGCTCAGGAATAATAGCAGCCTTAGGCTTCAAGTATGTGGATATGGAAATACTTTTATTTCCACATCTCAGAGATTGCATTCTGATTGTAGCTGGGGAAATCCAGTAAGGATCTCCAAAAGCATCTTCATAAAAAGATAAAACCAGCAGAAATATTCTCCCCAGAAAAACTGTTTTGAAAGAGTTTTTTGATATAATACAATGGTTTCCAAATAGTGTTGATTAACATGTTGCTATTATTGTGAAGCATATCTTTGACTTCTCCTGTTTAACATTTTTATTACTGAACTGAATAATGAGAAATGAAATGCCTTTTTTGTTTTTTAGTGGTAGACAGAATGATTCCACCCTCACTCAAATATGTATGTGCCTAAATTCCCAGAACCTATGAATATGTTACATTTCGTGGCAAGGGAGACTTCGCACATGTGCTTAAAATTAAGGACATCAAGATAAGGAGATTATTTTAGATTATCCAGGTAGGTCCAATTTAATAAGAGTCCTTACGAAAACCTTTTCAGATAAGATGAGGATTGGAGGGACATGTAACTACATAAGAACGGTCAGAGATCCAACATTGCTGCATTTAAATCTGGGGGAAGGGATTTGTAAACTAAAGAACACAGATGGCCTCTAGAAGCCTCTGTAAGATGAGGAATCATATTCTTTCCCAGAGTCTCCAGAAAGGAGTGTAGCTGACAGCACTTTGGTTTTAGCTAGTGGGACCTATGCTAGCTACTAATCTATAGGAATGTAAAATAATAAAGTTGTATTATTTAAGCCACTAAGTTGATCATAATTTATTACAGTAATAATAGAAAGCTAATATAGGACATCAAATTGAGAAAGAGGAATAAATTAAAACTGTAGATAGTAAAATCTATATGCAAGTCACTACTTGTTTTGCTGGAAAAGTATTTTGTTGTTTTTTTGTTTGGTTGGTTTTTTTTGTTTGCTTGTTTTTGTTTTTTGCTTTAAATGAGTTTATTAGCTCATGCATCCATGGAGAACCTAAGGGTCCAGCTAAGCTTCAGGAATAATTGGAACCAGGATTACATATTGGCTTTCTTCTCCCAGGCTAACTTTCTTAGGTTTTTTTTTTCCCAGGCTACTGCTAGGAGTTCCTATATTTCACATCGCATAGTCTCATCCCTACAGAAGATAATCTCTTTGACTCAAAATTTAAAAAGAAAGGACCTTGACTGGATTAATGCTCATCTCCCTACTCGACCAATTTATTGCTTACTCCAACTGGAGGCATGATTGTAGGGTATCTGTTTGTGCTATTATAACATAATACCACAGACTGAGTAATTCATAAAGAACAGAAATTTATTCTTTTACAGTTCTGGAGGCTGGAAAGTCCAAGATCAAAATGCCAGCAGGCTCTGTCTTTGATTCCAAGATAGCCTCTTATTGTTCCATTCACTGGAGAGAAGGAATGCTGTGTTGTCACATAGCAGAAGTGGGGGAAAACTTTTCACAAGCCCTTTTCTTAGTAGCATTAATCCATCAATGATCGCTCTGCCCACATAACATAAGCACATCTCATTAGAACCCACCTTCCAACGGTGTGAAGTTCCCAGCTTATGGATTTTGGAGGGAATAAAACATTTAAACCATAGCAGTTGGGAGAAGAATGAGGCATGTTTGCCTCTAGTATCTAGAGATATAGAATTACAGGATGTAAAGATATGGAGATACAAATAATATTTGTCCGCTACCATCAGGAAGAAAGGAAAAAGAAAAAATACTAGACCACACAGAAAGTACTCATAGGAAGAAAAGGTTAAAAATTTAAAAATTGCTTTTTGCCAGACCATCACATAAAAATGGTTTAAGTGTTTTATTACGAGAGAAATTCACTCTACTGGAATTCCAGTAGTATTCCAGATACTTAATAATTCCTGTTTTTTTTTTTTTACTGGTCAGATCGCACATGGATTCTTGGTGTTCAATTCTGAGTCCACTCTAGAGACTATTAACTGGACTTTGTAAAGAGCTATTAAAAATGTTAAGTGGTTCTGGTGCCATTTTCATTTGAAAAATTGTTGAAGACATTGAGTGATACTCTAAAATTGGAAGACTTGATACTAGATGATATTAATTATTTTATACATACAAATAGTTGCTTTGTGGTAGAGTATAGACTTATATTCCATTACATCTTCAACACTGGGTGAAAGTTAAAGGGAGGACAAATTTTGTGTAATATGTGGAACAGGCTTCTTGTCCCCAAAATGTTTATAGTGGAAGATAGGAAATTATGTCAGTGATTCTCTCAGGGAATCTCTGCTTTGGTTGAGAATTTATCAGACAGTTGAGAAGAGTTTACAATTCTTTGTTTATGAATAGTTCCTTTAATTCTAACATGAAAAAGCATTATATTTTCTCTGAAATCACTTTAAAATGTCAAAGGATGCTATAATTTACCTGTATTTAGACCCACTGACCTCCTTATTTTCAGCAATTATTTTTCACCATGAAGGCAGGAATCTGCTTAGTACATTGTTTATAGAACTTAAACAGAAGTTCTTTCAGTTCCTACATAATCTACTCCAAAAAGTCTTGCAACTATTTCTCATTCTCACAAAGTCATTCTTTCATATATTCCTTTTATGTTTCTTCTGATATTTATAACATAGCCTCTTCTATCATGTGTGCATTTGAAGAACATTTTTTATACTTTGTAGGTAGGAAGCAGCCACTGAAAACAAGCCTCTCAGATTATGGATTATATATGGAATATTGCTTTAAGTTTGGATAACAAATGGTAAGCATTATTCAGAGTTTAAATATTCAAACTCATTTAGCTCATTAAAATGCTGTTTTACATGCACAGAGAAGAGTCCTAGATGCCTCATTATTTGAATTTACTTTTGCCTTCCCAATGGATCATTAACTTTACTAAATCATTTCTTGCATTGTTAAGTAACAGACAGATGTATGGGCAGTCTAAGTAAGAATCTAAAATTCACTCTGCATTAGCCAAATTAACCTATAGTAGACATATGCTGTTGGACATGAACACTACTAGCTCATCTAAAAAGTTTGGAAATTAAGAATACATGAAGACAGGTTACAGGAATTTGGAGAAACAGAAAGAATTGTTTTCCAAGGTAAAACTGGCAATTGTTCTCCAGCTTTATCAATATCTAAAAAGAAAAACATAGATTTCTGTAGAAACTATAGAATTATAATTTCAGTTTGCAAAGGCCAGGAGTGGGGGGATAGTTACCAACAGAATTACAGCCTACTTCAAGACCTATGAGGTTTTACGTGAAATATTTTAGTTGTTCTTTAAACGTGATAGTTAACTGTTTGTGACAATATTTATGAAATCTAACAAAGGGGTGGGAATAGGCCACGGGACCCCTCAAAATTTCCTTTAGGTAGATGACATAATGGAGAAAGAATATCTTTAGAATCTGTGCATCTGAATATTTAATCTGATGGAAACAATATTATAAAGTGACTAAATAAATGAATCTGAGCCTGAAATTGTGTTCTAAATAGAAATGTCTGGTAGATTCTCCTTCCTTGAAGATTGGCTTCTATGTCAGAAGTGGTTTCAGGTAGTTTGGAAGAACATATGCCCACTGGGGTTTTTGCCTGTCATGGATATATATAGCTATGACTTCTGAGTGCCACACAGGAGAAATGCAACTTCTGTATTCTGATGAAAGGGCCTATAACCAGGCAGAAAAGCAAACCTTTGGTTGAAAGATGAGATATTGCATGTCTTCAGAGACTGCAGCTGGGACCAGAAATCTTGTATTTCACTAACTCTGTTTGGCCATTTAATGCCCAAGTGTCCACTTTGCTGCCTGAATTTCTAGATTTCTGTTGGACAAGAACACCCATAGGAGACATTAAGGCAAAGAGCAAGGGAGGCAGTAATGGCAAGGTACTGTGAAATGAGCAGAAAAAAAAATCCTGCACCAGAATTAGAATGAAGGCTGAAAAAGGCAGAAGGAAAGCAATGGTTTCTGGGAAGTGCAGAGAGAACACTTCAGCAGCTGCTGCTGGTGCTAAATTGTCACTTCTGATCTGGCGTGACAGTTACAGTGGCTGAAATGTGCTAGAGAAATCCACGTTCCTTGGCTAAATCTAGA